CTCCAATGGTCGAAATGATTTCGACCATTTCGACCATTTCGGATATCCGAAATGATCCATTTCGACTTCATGTATAATTTCGACTATTGAAAGCTAAAGTCGCGAAATAGTCAAAATGACGTTATATCATATGATTTTTCATATTAAGAAAAAATAATAAACAAAAAATGTACGATATCAGTTAATATCGCTCCGATTCGTATTAAACAACTACCATTAGATTTCTTGTGACTTGGCGGATCCAATAAGCTAATATTCATTGATTTTGGATCATCCAATCGCGAGATAATCGCACTTGTATTATCAGCTGAAATTATGAATCAATAAATTCTACTTTAAATAAAAGAGTCTGGATTTCGAAATACAATCGCGAATATCTCGAGATGGGCTAATCCAAAATCAATAAATGTTAGCTCATTGAATTCGTCTAGTCGCGGGGAATCGAATGGTAGTTGTTTCATATGAATCAGAGTGATATTGACAGAGATTGTACATCTTTTGTTTTTTTTTGTTTTTTCTATATATAAAAATTATGTAATATGACGTAATTTTGACCATTTCGACTTTTCATTTCGACTTTTGGGTTTTCATTTTGACTTTGTGTATAATAACATAACTAAAAAGTATTTTTTTTAAAAGTCTGAAAATTATTATTGATGGTAGTAATAGTAGTAATAGTATTATTATTATTATTATTATTATTATTATTGTCATCAATTACAATTATATCTGAAGAAAACGGACTGGTTTCTCTTTTAGTAGGGTTTTCATTTGAAAATAAAATATTTGAATATTTGTTTGTCAAATAAAAAAAATCAAATATTTGAAATTGATTGACTGATTTTAAATATTCGAAACTATTTCAAATATAAAAAATCTTTTCAGATATTAAAATTGATTTTAAATATCAAAAATCATTTCAGATATCAAAATTGATTTTTGAATATTAAAAATCATTTCAAATATCTGAAATTGATTTCAATTATCACAATTTAAATAAATATTTACCAAAATATATGGTAAAATTCAATTATTGATCAATCATTTATTTTAATATTAATTTTATTGTGTTTTTATTTAATTAATATTTCAAAAAATAATAGAAATTATGATGATAAATTTATTTAATAATAAATAGTAGGTATAAATTTTTAGGTTTTTATTGCTATTATTTATATTGATAAATTTAAAAGAAAAAAATAAACCAATATTATATTAATAAAATTGTTTTCTTCTAATGATTTTTGCTTTTTGTTAGATAATAACATATTTTTATTCTGCTTTCTTTTTTTAATATTTAATATTTCTTTCTTCTTGGTAAGTTTTATAAGTAATATTATTTCTCCTTAGACAAGCTTCTAATATTTGAGTATAAAAATATAAGAAGCAATTTTTTCAACTTATTCTTTCTTAAAAATACTTCTAATGATGCTATAATTTTTGGATCTATAGTAGATCTGATGTAAAATGAGTTTCATATTAACTATTTTATCTAAGGATAAAATAAATATCATGATCACATTACATTGGTTAAGTTAATGCAGTTGTTAAGTTTTTTGGTAATACTAATATTCATTTTGTCTTATTTGTTATAATATACCTTATATTTAATTTACTTTTTAAAAACCGGTTTAATATAGATTTCGAAACCTGATTTTCTTAATTTTCCTAAAGCAAATTTCACTTTTTTCGCCCATTAATTTTATAAAAAATTTGTAGCAAAAAATATTAATTATGAATTATTTACTTAAATTTTTTTCACGTGACTTCATGAAAAAAATATTATATTCAAATTTGGGAATAACGGATGAAAATCATCATTGGAAAATATTTGAATGACACAAAATGATGAATCGCCGATAAGGTTTATTTAATATCCGCAATCTAGACCAAATAAATCGTACATTTCATCGCATATAAAAAAATGAATTGAATGACAAAAAAATCACGTGAATTGAGCCAGGCTCAACTGAACAAGGTGAGCGTTTCAAACTCATTGATCTTGAATTGACTTAATAATTTACAATGAATTTCAATGCCACATAAAAATTGAATGTAGAGAAGAAATTTACCTGAAATTCATTTTTGTATATCGATCGGTTAAATCCGGACGAAACGAAAAATATTTTAATTTGAAGTATATAAACCCATAGATATAGATGTAGTTGTTAAACATTTGTTTAAATTTATTTAATTTTTTTATCGTTTCAAAAAAATTTTTTTAACATATATTTGCATAAGGTAATTTTCATAATTTGCAACGCGCGTAAATTTTTTTTTTTTTTGACAAATTCGACCAAATTTTCATTCATAAAGAACTAACTTATTCATGAAATAATGAATGTAATTAATTTTTCAAGGGAACGTTGTTAAAAAAAATCTCTTATTTTATAATAAAAAAAATTTGAATATATATATATAAATAAATGTTCCCAAAGTATTAATTTCAAAAAAAAAGGAAAATTTTATCACAAAAAAAAAACCGAGTTTCTTAGTTTACTTTTTTCTCCTGTACAACCCATCACTAAAAAAAAAAAATAAGAAAATTAAATATAATAATAATAATAATAATAATAATAATAAAATAAAATAATAAGAAGAATAATAATAATAATAAAATAATAATAATAATAAATATGCATAAGAATAAATAATAATAATAAATAATATATATATGTGCAAATAATACAGTGGATATCACCAAAAAAAAAAAAAAATAGACCTGATAAAAAAAATAATATGTAATTATATAATGAAAATCTAAAAGAAAAACTTCTATACAAAAGAAAAGTAATTTTGAGATGGAAAATTATGCGCGGAATGGGTTTTGAACGGCCGATCGACGGACTCGTTAAAAGATTTAATTTGAGTAATAAAAATGAGATGGAAGAATGATTAGGAATTTGTTATTTCGGGAAGTTATTCATTATTAGCTCATTATTATATCTTTTAAGCCCATCTCGCAGATTATTCTCCACCTCAATTTATCCAATGATTTTTCCACCTGTATAATAAAACCAGGGGTTTTTGTTGTGATAAAATTAATAAAAAAGGAAACGCGAGAAAAAAAAATTTACACAGAATTTTTGTATAAAATCTCATCATTTCTTCATAAAATAAAGAGAAGAGACAATCTCCAAAGTGTATGTGTATGTGTATGTATAATATATATATAATAAATATGAAAATATGTATATAGGAAATGTAATGGAATTTTAAAAGAATCATAAATCACATCCTAGCGAGTATACCCAAAAATGCCAAGCCAATATAACCCTAAATTTCCGAACAATATTAAAACTATATAAAAATTGAGAGGGGACGTCTTAACTACAAGATTAACATTATTTTCTTTCCTTAATAAATACGTTGCAAACATGATGAATAACGAAAGAAATAAAGAAAAAGAATCCTATTATTAACATAGTAACGAATTTACGCTCATCCTTGTAGAAGTACATTCTTCTCGAACTGTACTCGCACGTGAAGATGATGCTCTTGGTATAGAAGAAACAATCACATCTTTTACTCGTTCATCATTTTGAAACTTTGGGAAAGAATCGCTCTGTGACGAAGAAGATTGTGTATCACTATCATCCTGATCACTATAATAATTATCACTATCATCATCATCATGGTCTTGATAATGCGAATGATTATAATTATTATAGTTACTATTATTATAATTATGCGAACGATTTGATCGATTGATGTATGATGGATATTTATTATCGTATTCGTTGTAATAAGATAAGGTACCGTCGATTGGAGATGTCCTGACCGTATTAAATGCCGATGAGCGTCTTTCGAATGACGATGAGGATTGTGATCCTGAAGGTGAATAAATTGACATTGATGAAGAGGGTGAATAAAGATGTTCATGTCGAGGAATAGTTTGATTTGTACGAGAATAAGTTGGAGCAAAAGTTTCAGAAACGTTACGGTGATCCTGCGAACGATGATCCTGTGAATAATGATCGTACAGATTATGAGGGTGAATAGGTCGTAGTTTTTTGTGATTGTAATTATAATCATTATATAAAGGTGGTGATACAATTTCAGGAATTCTTGGTGATAAAACAGGACTTATAAGACCCGATCTTCCAACACCTAAACTCGAACCGGACGAACCATTATGATTGTGATGCATATTTAATAACTCGGGATCAATTGGGATATTGGATTGTGATGAGTTTGATGTCGAAAATCCTCCAACAACTGAATTTCTTGGTTGAACGTAATTAGACCCTTCATTTGTTAAGCAAGTTCCAAGTTTGACACGAGTGAAACGTCCCACAATATACAATTCATTCCAAGTTTCTTTACGTGCCAAATCTGCACCAAGGCCACCACCAAACCACATTCTTACATCATACAAATCATATTGACCTATTCTTTGTCTCATATGTATCATATCAGATACGTCATTTATTGGTCCACTAATAGCTGGATATTGTAAATGTTCTGGGCTGATTTGTGAAAATCTTGAATCTTTAGTTGTAACGGGATTATTATTAGATGATGAATATTGAGATGCTTGACAAAACCGATTCGCATCTTCATATAACAAAGAAATCATTTTTTGTACTCTTTCGATGTCTTGAGCATGCACGTATCTATATAAGGATTGATGTAATAATTCTAATGGGTAATATCCCATTATTCCAAGACATTCTTCTGAAACTCTTGCACAGGCAACGTTGTCGACTGTCAAAAACATTGTAATAATGGGGCTATGTTCTTGTGAATGTATTATGGGTTGAGGTCTTTGAATTGGCCTAGGTTGAGTTGGTGGACTAATGATTTTTGGTGATTTTGCATCGTACGAAGGTTGATGACGATGTTGGTTAGGCTGGTGCAACTGGTGTCTAGGCGGTAACGAATTTGAATCTGGAATTGACGGGGGTTGTTCTTTCTGTTGTGGTAAGGTTGGTAAGGTTGGCAAGGTTGGCAAGGTTGGTAATGTTGGTAATGTTGGTAATGTTGGTAATGTTGGTAATGTTGGTAAGGTTGGTAATGTTGGTAAGGTTGGTGGTTGGGTAGGGTTTGTGGTAGTTGGCGGTAGAAATTGTGGATTTGATCCCCAAGTTTTTGCGTCTGCAGTTGCATGAGTATTGTAAGGATGCGGTTTCTTGTCCTTTAACTTTGGTCGTCCGCGCTTCTTGTGTTTAATATCGATACAGGTATCAACTTTTCCAAGAGCGACGCATCGTTTGCAAGGTCTCGATACTGTTGAAAATCAAAAAAATTTTTTGTAAGTATAAGTTAAATTCGTTTAATGAAATTTTTAAATGAAAAGATAAAAATAAAAATAAAATTTTCTCGAGATTTAAAATAATTTCCGATGCATAAACAATCCAAGGGATTGGATATAGATATTAAGGATTAGATTAAATTAAATTTAAAAACAGTCGTTCCTTCTAAAGTCACACCACACATATATATACAAACATTGATCTTAGTGTGATTGTGTTTTTTAAAAAAAAGATGTATAAATATATAATATCAAAGTTTGATTTCGTGAAGTGTCGGAATTTTGCATTTAATAAGAGCAAAAGTTTCATTCGACGTGATACAACTTTTGCATTATATAAATATTTTTTTGACCAAAAAAAAAAAAAAAATAGAAATAAAAATAACTCACCGTCACATGCAAGGTGTGCTCTCTTACAATTAACACAAGCGCTAGGTACATGAGTTTTATTCACTCGTTTTGTTCCAGAACTATCGTCAGAACCTAAACCTGAATTAATCATACTCTTTGTATCAATGCTGATTCTCACTCTATTAGGAGGATATGTAGGAGGATATATATGAGGATGTCCAAACAATCCCTGGTCGTTTCTTGATTCATAAAATGTAGGTGCGGAAGATTGTTGAGACTTTGATAAGTGGGAGTCATTCTGAGAATAAGATGGAATAGAAGAAAACGGTCGTTCAAGAGTTCCCATTCTTATATAATCTTTTTTTTTTGTGTGCGTGCGCGCGAAGTAAAAAGCAATGTCGATTTTTTTTTTCTTTTTAAGAAAAATGGATAAAATAAGATAAAAAAAAATAAAAATAAAAAATAAAATATATTCTCCTTTCAAAACAAATTCAAAACATTAATGGAGGAAAAAAAAAAAAAAAAAAACGAGAAAAAATGAAAAAAAAAGGGGAAGGAATAGTTAGAATTTGTGTGATGATATATGTTTACCGGAAAAAAAAAAATTTTTTTCAATACTAACTAATAAAAATCAGTTATATTTTGTAAATATTTTTGTACTATACTATAATACTATAAAATTATTTATACAGAAAAAGGGATATAAGCACCTGTTATAAATTTACAATAAATAAAATAAAATAAACAAGAGTTACACACCAATTAATTGCATGAGAATTCTTTTTTCTCTCTTTTATAACATCATCTTAAGTCTAGAAATTTATATATTTACATATAATAAAAAAAACATTCAAATTGACACAACATAAAATCCGCCATTTTTTTTTTTTGTCATTCCTTTCGGCAAGGAAATTAATGAAAGTTTGATGGCTGCGGCGTTGTCTTCAGTTTATACTTTTTTTAATTAATTCATACGTTATACAAAAATATACCTGCTATTGCGGCAAAAAGGAATATTTATTACAAACAATCAGAACAATAAAGAATGGTCGGAGAAAAAAAAAATTAGAAAGGGGAAAATTTGGCAATAAGTACACTTACCTTTAAAGAACGTTAATCCTATCACTGATCATATCAGAAATACAAACACCATAAATAAACAAACATTAACAATAATAAAAATTAAAATAATATAATAAAAAAATTTTTTCTTCTTTTTTTCTAAAAAAACAATTTTTTTAATGTTTTATCTGATGAGATTTTTTTTAAAAAAAAAATTTGATGGGAAAGAAAAAAAAATTTTTTTTTTGAACTACCATTTGTATCTTTGTTTCATTCATATTTTCCATTTACTAAATCCTTCTAAGTCATAGTTTGAGTTCAACCTTAATAAGCAACTACAATCACTTTTTTTATAAAATGAGCTAGACTAATTTGAGTGGACATTTTGCAACAAGGAGGAAAATATATTTACAAAATTCACCGAATTTATTTATTTTGCAGAAGATTGTCCATTAAATGATGTCATGCATAAAAGGTTTCTTGTATCATACTGTCAATAAATGCTAAAAAAACGGAGTGAAAACCGATCTCCTTCCACCTTTTCATGTTTTCATCACCTTTTTTTGTGTCATGATGGCTTGCATATCGGAATGAAGAATCTTGTGTTGCTTTTTTCCTTCCATCAACCAATCGATGAATTTTTTTGTTTCAACCTCTTTGGTTAATAGTACAAACATCCCTACCATAATTGGAAAATTTTAAAGTTCAGACTTTCCCGCTACAGTCCGGTCATTTGACAATCTCGGTTTTGGTGATGTAAAATTTAACCATATTTGACACTTTACGCGCAGCATCCAAATATACCATAATAGCCTTATTTCATTCCTGATAAGGTGCCCTTTTTTTTTTAATTTCCGCAACTCGTTACCAATTGATTCATTGTTTGAAAAGTGTTACCTAATTCAATGTTAGTCATCTACTGCAAAATTAATATTTTAAACATTGCATTAAAATTTATATAATGTCAATCACTGCATTTTACAGTTTAATATTTTAAAAAATCTTCCGAATATTTATCTGCATGAAAAATCTTTGTCCGGTGGCTTGGGAACTATATTAAGATTGGATGAATTTGAAAAATGCGGTAATTGAGTGGACTTTGTCTCTGTATTACTAGCATTCACATGGTAACCTGATTCAAGTTATTGAACCTGTTTGAAAAGTCCTACAATAGACAACAACATTGTTGATCCAATGTATAGGTCTAGACCCTTCGAAAGTAAACTATTCGCGAATTTTATTTATTTTTTTGTTTACTCGGTTTCTGTCATTCTTTCATTACGTATGTTTCTATAACTTATTGCAGCATTAAATAGCATAAATCTGTTTCAAATACTCCGCTTTTAATTATTCCGCTTTTCGATTCCAAATTATTTATAATTCTGTTGTAAAACCTTGACTCTGCCTATTTCGGTTGTTCATTTTGTCATCCTACTTTCTTTTTACTTATTGACAAAAAATTCTACTCACATTATTGCTTCTTTTTGTGTTTCTATTTTTCAAGTGTAACATGAAGAGGATAATATGATACCATATCATTATTGTTAGAGTATCTATTTTTTCATAAATAAAAATCCTCTTTTTTTTGTTGGGGAAAATTTTTATTCACAGCAAGATGAACACAACATTAAAAATTCCGAAATAAACAGGATTTGAAAGGAAGGAACCGGTTTATTATCTTTCATTCATGCAAGTACAGATGCGATTACATTAAAAAATCTGTCAACCGCAGTAATTTTTTTTTTTTGACATATACCGCGAATATATAGAAAACAGAGAAAAACAATACTTTATTTTAAAAAATGAAATAAATATTCTTTTGTATACTAAAATTTATTATTAATTCGGACAAAAACTTGTTTAGTAATAGAAGTAACACATGATAAACCAATAAACAAAGCACTCTTTTTTTAAAAATATATAAATATGTGTGTGTTTATAGTATATAAAATAAATCTTGAAAATGTTTTTTCAAAATATCGTATTACATTACGCAAGCCTCAAGCCACAGTACAGCCACTTGCAGGGATGAAGTTCATTACAGCGGTGGAATATAATGCCGGAGTTTGATGGTAATTAATTTTACGATGAGCGCAATTTATTTTCAGAATGTATACCAAAATTGTATCGATAACTTGAAAAACAAAATACTTACATGTCCTTATCTTCATGTAAAGACAATTGAATAATTCTTGCCTGCGTGGGTCGTAACCGTAATCTTAGAGATTCTTATGATTTGGTTGTAAACCATTTTGGTTTTTCGCCTTTTAAAAAAGGGTAATGTATTAAGCTAATGTCAAAAGAATTTAATATCTCATTATGTTTGCAACCACATTGTTTCACCTCTCTCTTTGTAAAAACAATCAATAAGTTCATATTCCTAAATTTTGTAGCACCATTTTAAAGGTGACAATTATAATAATTATAATTGTTTGAGTCAATCCCGACAAATTGGAGCACTGAGTATATTGAAGTCTGATTCCAATTAAAAGTTCGGATATTCGTTATCTTTTATATATTTGAGAACAAGAGAGACATTAAGGAGATTCAACGTCAATAATTTTTAAATATCATCAACATAAAGGAGAATCATGTAACCTTTCCAAAATTACCGCAAGTGAAGTTTTTTCTTTGAACTATTTTTATTATCAATATATAAGTGTGAAGAGGTTCAGAAAACTTAATTGAGAAAACAAAATAAATACCTTAGCTTATTGTCATACAAATCATATCTTTCGATAAATAAAATCAGCAAGTTAAATAATCGATGACAACACTTTCATGGGAGGTACCGCAAGTCGCTCTCCCAGAAAATTCCACCAACATCACATTAAAAAAATCAAATTTTGCAAGAGAACCAAATAGTCTCGAACCTAATTTCTGAAGATTAGAATTAAACAATGCATTGGTGCAATATCTTCAATTCGTTTTCACATTCCAAATATCGTAACGCATTAATATTCGCACGTGAAGTTGCTCAAGCTAAAATTTCTATTGATGTACTGCATCACAGATTTTTTTGACAAATTCAAAAATGCCCGATACATGTAACAAGAACTGCAATAAATTTCCGAAACCGGAAATTTTTAATATGTTACACATAATAGCATACCTTAAATTTAATACCGATTAACAGTTTTTGATTGATGATGCAAAATTTGATTGTTTGAACAATTTAATTTGAAATATATTTGTTTTTGTTTTAATTGCACAAGACGGATAAAAAGGATTCAATTACCTTTTCGCCTTCTTTTATATGATTTTCAGCAGCCCATGAATTAAATTTAGAAATAATCTTTAAGTTAGAATGATTTTCATCACGAAATCGAAATCTTAAAATTACAATAATTGCATTTTGGTTTATACTGTATATACAGTATACTCTTGCAAAATATAAATCGAGAATTTATAAGCTTCATTTATCATTACCCATACATTGCGGAAAAAATATGTCGGTAAAAGATTTTGGCATTTAGCTATTGTTATTATTGCGAAAATAATATGCACGATAGATAAAACTATAGCTATAAAAATAAATTACAAAAAGATCGGACATAGCCTATCTTTCAATAACTCTATTCTTACACCCAAACTTTTCTCCTTATAAAAAAAAGTATTAATTTTTCAATGCTTTAGTTTATCTAAATATAATATTTATTAGTTCTTAGCTTAATCAGGATAAAAAGGAAAGTATGTCTATTTTATATTTAAACTATTGATAAGTTACTTAAAATTTTTTGAAGTGTATAAATTCTAACGATTTATATATAACAGTTCTAAAATAAAGAGTATCTCGTAATAGAAAAATGAATATAATTATAAATCTTATGTTAGTACTACATTATAATAAACTTTATAACATATCTAAGAAAAAAGGAGCGTAGTACATTAAGAATGATAGATAACCTTATATTGATAGGTAAAGTATTGTGTCAACTAATACAAGCTAACACAGATTTTATGTATAATCTTAAATTATATCAAAAATAAATAAATTCTCCTCAGACTAAAGGACAATTATTAGTCCGGAGCGAAGCGATGTCCCGCTCAAAAATTGAATCGATACGTGATTGGTTACTTTCATTATACTTAACAGTTCCCTAGTTGTATTATACTGTATACTTAATTTAGCAGTTAGCAATAAAATATTTTAATAATTTTTGTAATTCAAAAAAATATCAAATTATATAAAAATAATTTGTAAAAATATCATATATTTAATTATTTTAACTTAAAAAAGCTAGGAAACAAAAACCATGACAAAATTCTATATAGTCTTACAATTGTAATTTGATATTTGTTTTAGTATTTTATATTATAATTTACAATAATTTATAATTATTATAATTATTTTAGTGTGATGAAATGTTTATAATAAATTAAATTTGTGATATATTTTATTGTTTGCACAAGAATGTTCTATATTTAGTTTCTTATAACAATAGCAACAATTATTTGTAAATATATATATATATATATATATAAACTGTGTAATCCTTATGTTATATATAAAATAAACAATATTCACATATAATTAGTTACATATAATTTAACTTTAAAAAACCTTATTAGTAAATTCAAAAAAATAAGATATATTATGAGATTCATTTTATCAAGCAAAGTGAGAAAATCCAACAGAAATAAGCTGTAAAAATTGCAAAAGAGTAAAAAATATATTGCATATAGGACTGTAAATAAGAACATCTAAAATTAATAATATGGAATTACAATAAAATTGAATTATAAAAATGCAATAAATATGCCTAATATGTGATAAGAATTTTAACATCTATATTTTTATAAAAGAATAATATTATTATTACTATGCTGAAAAGTTTTTTTTAGAAAAAAAAATATATTAATCATAAATTATTTCTGTAATATCAGTTTACAAATTTGTAAAGGATAAAATATATATAATAGAAATATGATCAATTTCTTTAATATGTAAAAAAATTTACTAATAATTTAGAAATCTTAAAAATTTTGTAATAAGATCATTTATGCATTATTGTAGTTAAAGAAAAAAATTATTATTATAAGCGTTACAATTATAAAAAAATGTCATAACTGTATGTTGCAATTAAATTTATTAATGTTGCAATTATGTTACATCTCAAATAAAATTCAAACACAATTATGAGAACTATCTTTAATAATAAGAATATTATCATTAATAATAAAATAATTTAACCTTTACTAATTATAAATCTATTGATAATAAGCTTTAGTATATTTAAATAATTGTTAAAAATAAGAATAAAATGTAATTATATACATTTAGGTTTTTACTTTAACTTTAACTTATTATTAAAAATACACTTAATTGTATATAAAATAATAAATATTTGATAAAATAATCATAAATCAATAATTACTTTATTAGTAAATTTTAAATAAAAATATATTATGTATACATTTTTCTGATTTAAATATATAGAACTTTAGATAAAATATGAAACTAATTAAGTATTTTAAGTATTTTTTTTTTAATACAAAGTCAGAGATTTATTTATATATCATTTTAATTTAAAGTATTTTATATTAAATTTTTAAATGAGATGATAAGCATTATATAAAAGAAATATATATATTAAATAAAATTAAATAATTTAGATTATTATTATAGATATTTAGAAAAGAATTATCTAAAATAATATTAAATTACTGATAAAAATATGTAATTTGATAAGAATTTATGAGAATCTTAATAAATTTAAAATATATGATGATAGATATGATTAAATAAATTAGATCACACATAAAGGTTATTTGCTTAAATAATTTTAAAATTCTACTAATTTTTTAGCAAAATTTTAATAAGATTTAATATATTTTTATTAAAATTTTTCTAATTTTAACATTTATTATAATAGATTTAGTATTTTAATATTTTGATAAATTTTACTAAATTTTTAATAAGTTAAAATTAAAGATGGTTTCCATAATTATTTTTAAAATTTTTAACTAGTTGTAACTTAAGTTGCAACACTTTAAATTGCAACTATTTATGAATTTTTATATTAAAATAAATTTACAAGGAGTTGCAACCAAATTGTAACTCAAGTTACAATATACCAAGTTGCAACTTCTTAATTATGGTGTCCATCTTTAGTTAAAATAGTTTTATCAAATTTTAGTATGTAAATAAATTCTCTAATTTGATAAGTAACCTTAACCTTAAGATTTAATATTTATATTTAATATTGCAGATTTATATTAGTCAAAATTCTATAAACTTACATTATCTAGTAGAATGCTATAGAAAAGATTGGATTAGTAAAAAATAAAAATAATATAATAATTAATTTAAATTTAAATTTATAGTTTATTATAATATAAGCTAAAATTTGTTACAATATACAGTCAGATCTCTCTAAATACATCCTTTTGGGATTATAGTAAAAATTTAAAAAAAATGTGTATTTAAAGATAGTGTATATTTAAAGAGAAAAATTTTGTATAATTTTTATATATTTTGATTGTGTAAAATGTGAAAATATATACATAATATGTGTATATTTAGGAAAGATGCATTTAGAGAGTATATTACAATATTATAAATCATAATAGACTGTATATAGAAAAAATAGTTTAAGAAGGTATTTTTAATAGTATAATAATTGCTTTTATTATCATTATTTTATAAATAAAATTTTTTAATATTATATTTAGATTTAAACCTTTGATAATATATGGGTTGTGATCTAAGAAAATCAAATTCTAAGAAATTTTGACTAAAATTAATAATAAGAATAACCCTATTGATATCTTTATAACATCCTAATTGGAATCTTATTGTATCTTATCTGTATCATTATTCGTCATCAATCGGGATCACATGATTCTAAAAAAACAAAAAAATAGGAGACCAATCAAGTTAAATCTGGTAACTCAGATTTGACCCGATTGGTCATTTGTTCAACTAGTGTAAGCAGGCAAATTTACCTATAAAATCTTACGATTTAAAGGATAATAAAATATATATAAAAATAGAAAAATTTAAGATTATAGAACGAAAAAAAACTCTTTCTCCTTTTTTACAATGGCATCTAAGAGAAAGAACTCCAAACAACGAGGTCGCATAGCATCTTCATATATTATCAAAAATAATTCTAATAACTCCAACAAAAAATCAAACCCAACGCAAACTAGAAATATCACTCCAACTCCTAGTAGCAAAAACTATAGAAGTTGACTCAACACCTTTAGACAAAGGTAAAAATAAAAAGGAGGATATTACTCCACAAGCTCTTAACGTCGACGAAGCATACGACCTTTCAGAAATCTTCTCGATGAAAATTACAAATCTCCACAAGCTTTCGATAGGCTTAAACCAACTTATCATGTGTTTTTTCCATTGAACGACCTTCTTGGAAAATCACTGCAACAAAAAGTCGCCTTTGTTATTAACCTTATTTTCGATCACTATGATTCGTTCACCAGTGCAGTCAGTGTTGTACACGGATGTTGTCCTGGTGATTTTTGGCAGACATGAGACGTTCGAAAGTTCATGTCCAGGATTATGTCCGCAGGACAATTGGGACATGGATCGATATTAGATATCCTTTGACCAGAATTAACAAGAGATATATGGCCAGCATTAATGCGAACAAAAAGTCCTGGACATAAAAAAATCTCAGACATGAACACTGACAGTCTGATCCAGTCTGGTCCATATCTGTATCCGCGTCCCATGACAACACTGAGTGCAATTGCTTCAAAACACCCTAACGATTCACTCTTCAAATTGCTAAAATTTCCTTTCAAAACAAAGAACATCAAGATCACGTATGCACTGTCAAATTGCCAAATATAAATAATCGCACGTTTTCACCCCTGGAGATCATCCCCAAAAACCAATTTGTTCTGACTCAGTTGATCAAGTCACAGAAATCCCCTTGGATGTAATGGAACACAGAATTCGAACAGTATTCTCTAAACTAGGAAAGATCGTCAGGCTCACAATGGATACAAAAAACCTTTGGTAGCAGATGACTATTACTTACAACGCTGACTCTAATTTTGATAATATAAAAAAGGGAATTGGACTTTTTGTTCTCAATAATATGGTTTAAAGATGGAGCTGTAATTAATTTTAAAATTTTTAACTAGTTGCAACTATTATTGAATTTTTATATTAAAATAAATTTTACAAGAAGTTGCAACTTACCGAGTTGCAACTTCTTAATTACAGTATCATCTTTAATATGGTTAGATATCACATGTATGATTTACCGAAAAAGGACATACTTGCCAAATCAAAATTTTCTGCCAAATTGGCTGGGCTTCCTAGGTTTATGACAGGAAAGCAGCTTATAGAAATTGGACATATGTTGAATGCTACTGCTTGGATTATACCTAGGTCTAGATCATATTATTTTTCTACTCTAGCACGCAATTTTCTATTTTAGCTCTAATGATGACATAGAAGCAGCAATTAGTAATGTTAATCTTACTATTGACAACAAACATGTGACTTAGATCTAATCAAATGCAAAGCTCTGTGCAATTTGTTCATTCTCCTATCATAAAGCTAGCGAGTGTTCTAGAAAGAGAAAAATCCCAGATAATCGCAATGTACAAAAATTATATCAACACTTCCAACTGGCATAATTCACAAATTATAAAGTGCCGTTAAAATCTTTAAAAGGTGCAGTTAATCTGAATGTTACCTTTGCGCATGTGATCAGAAATTCCCAAGAACCTAAATCTTCCTCTAATAATAAAATGAGAGAACAAAAGACTTCGCATGACAAAAAGCCAACACCAAGAAACACATATAAGACTAATGATTCATATAATCAACAAATAAGTTCATGGTCAGATGATATTCTTGATACGTTGAATGATCATACCAAACAGTTGTGTCAACCCCCTCAATGTACTTGGCGAATAGTACGAGAAAAGGTGGATCTATGCACGAAAATAATCAGGATGATTTCAAAGAATTTGCCAGACAACAATTCACTGCACTAAATGACAACCTTTGCTATTTAGTAAATCACTTGATTTCACTGTACAACGTGTGGCTGCTAATGAGAAATCAATGAACATTAAAGTAGTTACTCCTTCAGAGGCGGATGCTAAGAACCTTGAAAGAGATGATGCGGAAAGCATGACTTGTGATAAAATTGAACCTAAGATTGACACATCATCCTCCATTATTATGCAACAACGGAAAACAATTGAGGGATTGAAGAGCGTTAATCAGATACATCAGAATCGCCTTAAATCCTTCACAATGATGGTTAACACTTTAGTTAAATCTTGTGCAGCGTTTTTTGTACAAAACAAATTGCTTCCTAAAGAACTCGCCAATAATATGTTTCCTCTAGGAGATGCTTTCGACAGCGATGTTGATCAGTATCTAAGAAGCTTCCATTATTTTAATATTTTAATATGAACACTGTCATTACTGATATTCCTGCACAAGATGCACATAATGATTTTTCTTTACCTTATACAGTGAACTCTTGATATAATGAATTCTAGGATCTGGATATCAACTTCGTTATAAGCTTATAACGAATTTTTTAAAGAATTTAATTGGCTAGTTCACTATAATAAGGTAATTTTAATATATTTGATTTAAAAATTCGCTATATCAAGTGTTCGCTATATCAAGGTTTGACTGTATACCCCCCATATTTCATTTGCCACTCATAATGTCAGATCTTTCACTAATATCGCAAAACAAAACTCTTTTATTGAATTGTATTCTTCACTCAACTTAGATATTATTGGATTACAAGAAACAAACTTTTCACCCTTTTCTACACATACTTTTAACCGCATGTTCTCATTTAAATTTACTGGTTTTTTTTGTTCAATCTCAGATTCTCCACCTCAAAAATCTGGTTTTGGTGTGGGTTTCTTATTTTGTCTGCACCTAGTGAATCATGTTTTTTACCATGAATCTAAACATAATTGCATCATTCTCATAGATTTGCAATTTGCCAACAAAAAAAATTAAGAGTAATTAATTGTTATCCTCCACCTGGTAACCACACCATCAGAAAACAGATACATTTGGATCTCTTGAAATACCTTCATGATACATATGCAAATAACTATCATATAGTACTCTTAGGTGACCTTAACGCAGACCTTGATAATCCTAAGCTGCATTCTCAGAATAAAAGATTCTTCTCTGGTTTATGCAACCTCAATTTGTTTGACACCTTTTTAGTTAAATATGATACACAAAGGTCTGATTACCCCACTCATCAAGGTCTAATGTTATCTTCTCATATAGATTACGTTTGGTCTTCAGTCGACATCATCTCAAACTTCATAGATTGTAAAACAGTTCAACTAGCATCTACTTTAACTAATCACTCTATAGTCATCCTTTATGTCGAAAACTTCTTGGAGGTTAAAAATAATAAAAGGAATATTCTTTTGAAAAAGGTCTATGACTATGACAAAATGATTGAGGATAAATGTTAGCCTTTGTAAACAAAATGGATGCTTTAAATAATGGTTGCTATTTACGTTGTCTCAACAATAAGACAGTTTTTAATCAAAATAAGTTAAACCAATTTTGGAATCTCTTACAAGAGTGTATTATTAAGGCTGCTGATGCTACAATTCCCTCACACCAATCAAAAGGACACCATACTATATAGAGATCTCCTCTCCTGTCAAAATTGTATAAAGACCTTAAGCTGCTATATAAACTGAAGAGATTGATAAAGAAAATAGTGGTCACATCCAGTCTTCCTTCACAATGGTCTACTTCAATTGATAAATTCTACACAATTATGAATGATTTTAGCATCGGATATGTTAGACTTCCTCCTAATCCTATGGCTATCATTGCAAAATCAATTTGCTCTGATATTGATTTGCTGCTGAGCTGCATTCTTGTAAAATCAAAATTACATGAACATGATTTTAAACTAAAATCTATTCAACTTGCTATTAAAAGAAGATTGGAAAATTATAGTATTTCACCTGCATGAATGACTGATTCTCTTATGAATCGCTCTAAATGGACAATTGTCATTGATAGATATATTAATAATGCTTCACCATCACGTGATCTCTTGACTAATGAATATGAGATCAAAAAGGAAGTGGCTAGACATTTTCAAATGGTGGCTGGCACTTCTCACGAGAATGTACAAATGGACGAGAAGTGGCTCCTATTTTATTAACCATTGGAGGATGTTCACGGCTCCATATACAATGACTTAATGACTCTACCATCAGCTGATGAATAGTATAATATTATCGTTCAACTCCCTAATGGTAAAGCTCCTGGACCATTCAAGGTGTCCAATGAAATGCTCAAAAATCTTGGCCTTTGATTAGAAAATCACTCTGGTATATTATTTGTGGTTGCTTAGAGTTATCTTCACTTTCACACAGATGGAATCATGCATTCGTTTACCCGATTCTCAAGCCTAAACCATGGGAATATAACTTAAATAACACCAGACCTATAACTTTGTTAGAATGTTCACGAAAAGCTCTCATTAAACTCTTAAATCGTCGACTTTCCAATATTTTGATTAGAAATAATGTCCTTAAAGGTCTTAACTTCGCCGGCCTACCATTCAAATCCACTTTTGAACCCTTACTTATAATCGACAACATTAAATACAATGCATCACACAATCAAAAAGACTTATGGATTTTATTGCAAGATATGTCCAAAGCCTATGATCAGGTCAATATATTTATGCTTATTAAAGCATTAGAACAGCTGCGCATTCTATTCAATTTTCTTAGATTTGTCCTTAAAATACTTGGAAATCGCCATAATCAGATCTTTACACTTTTTGGCAACACTGTTTCTTACAAAGTTATTTTTGGCATTGATCAGGAAGAGATCATATCACCTTTGCTATGGTGTATTTATTATGACACTTTACTCTGTCATGTACACTCAGCTATTCTTCTTCGATTACGTGGAAACCTAATGTTTTAGTAAATGAAACAAAATCAATCTCTCTTAAAACTTCAGCACCTGCCTACATGGATAATACTCTCTGGATTGCAAGATCACGTGAGGATCTTACCAATATTATTACCATCACTGAAAGTTTTATAAACTTAATCATATTAAAGTAAACTGAGAGAAATCAGTCCTTATGATCAATAATGCTAAACATAATCAACCTTTCATATGTGATATAGATGGTAATCTCACTAATATTAACCCATTACCTTTTAATGATTCCACTCAATACCTGGGTGTTTGGATTTCTTTGGGCAGAAATAAGACCTTCACTATTAATCTGCTCAAAAAAGAAATTAAAAACGCGATAACTATCATGTTCAAAAAGAAAATGACAGACAAACAATTGGTATATATATTTAATACTATTCTTACACTACGAATAGAATATCATGCTCAATTAACTGCAGTCACACTGGCTTAATGTGATACTCTTGGTTCAACTTATAGAGCATTCATGAAGAATAAATTGCATTTATCATGAAGTACACCATCATCGGTATTCCACTCTAATTACTTTTATAACCTCATAGATCTTCATCACTGTCTTCTCGCTGCTCATAGTGAAGCATTACATTTTCTCTTAATGATCGCAATTTACTTGGAGAGTCTACAAGATTGCGTGTTAAACAACTTCAACAAAAAGAATGGCTGCATATTTCTTCTTTGATTAGTTGGGCATATCTGTCACATAAATCAAATGATTGGATTGCTAATCTGCTTTGCAACTGGAAGTAGCTCGATATTACCCTTCAACTTCCTGATTCAGATCATTTTATTATTAAAGGCAGTTCAACTCCTCTCTCCTCAGTTTTGCTACCTTATGAATATAAGGCTCTCTCTGTGAACTTGAGGAAATACTCCTTGCTATTTGTTGAACAGTTGGTCTTTTCAGCTGGCAAGATTATGTTAACTTTTTATGATCTAAATATATTACCAGGATTTCTTCTAACACAGCGCATTCTACGTTGGTTTTTAACCCTCCAAGATAGACTATTATTAAATGATCAGGATAGAAGCATACGAGCTTTCTATCCACATTCGAATAACTGTACATATGACTTTTCTCTCCTATCAAGAAAGCTAGTACAATTACATTTGTACTTGGCTGGAATTATGGTCACAACATCCTATTCATTGGACGCCTCCTCAAAACAGAAGAACACTATACACACATATTGCATGTGCTTCCTACAAGTACTCAAGATAATAGAACTTTGTTCTCAAATGTTGTCGTTATGCTCTTTATGATCGTTAAACATTTGTGCCGTATCAAACTATCGACCAAGAAAACAAATGTTTTTTTATAGTGCTGATCAATCTCTGTTTTATCATTCCAGTGAATTATAATCATGACTCAACTTATGGTTGTTTATGGTCTATTGCTCTACTAAATAAAATGGCTAAAGCATTCATTCTTCATCGTAGTATACCACTGTCTCCTCTACTTGCAATAAATTTTGTTTCTCTGACTCCTCCTTCTTTTATAGAAAAATTTGTACCTTTATCACATATACAGACTTTACTAACACTTCGTTCTCAATTCAGTCCTTGCACTCATTTAGAATTCTACACTGATGGCTTCTTGGTAGATCTTGGTACTCCCTCAATCAGAATGGGTCTAGCTTGGCTTCAAACTGCACCAGTTTCCCCTATGCTCTCATATTCAACAGCTTTCACCTCTTCATTTCCCTTATCATCAGTTGCTGAATTGGCTGCAATGTTCACTGCCATCTTGGTAACCCCTGCTAATTGTCATATCACAATTTATACAGACTTTAGCAACATTATTTCACAATATAACAAGTACAAGCTACTATTAGCAATTTTCCCATCACAACGACCATTTCTTAAGATTGTTAACGTTCATATTTGGCAATGTCTATTTCAAATTATCAATGCTCTTTTGTTATCTGTGAAATTGATAAAAGCAAAAGCACATTCAGGTGATACCTACAATGAAAAAGTTGATCATATGGCCAAGAGTTCAGTAAACTCATCAGCATTAAATCTCCTTATCAACGACCAACTTCACACCTCCTTATATTTTAAACATTTGGCTATAGCCTCTCCTATACAACAATTTCTCAAACATATTTTGCATGCAGAAGTCTTTACCTCCTTTTTGAATCTGGATATTAATTACAAATATACCAGTTTGGACATTAATTGGATTACCACATCAAAATACATCTCTGACAACATTGCTTCATGTATTACTTTATATGAAGCATCTGCGTTAATGAAATCAAAAATACAAAGACTCCTTGAGATGCTTCCTACCATAGAAATACTAAAGATACATCATCCACTTCTTTTTGATAGTTCTCAACCTTGCATCAGATGTGGCTCTGATCTAGAGGATTTTGCTCATTTATGAACATGTCCTATGATTCTACACAAATCGCACGCGTTAGTCAACAACGCAAAGATATGTCTTGTTAATATATTACAATCTGATTTTTCAACTCAACAAATTGAACAGCTCGACATCTGGTCACTTCTTTTACCAACACCAACCCAGTTCACATTTATTGACCTTATTAAAGGCATCATTCCATTTAATCTAATGCATCTTTTCAAAAGGTCGTTTAATTCTCAGAAAGAGACCTTTGCTGCTGTTTCTAACTTCATGCATTTTATATTTGAACAATCTCATGCTATTTGGAAGGACTGTTGTTCAGAACTCAAAACTTTTGAATTATCTTGTAATATTACAGACGCTTTAAAACGCTCTCTTACAGAATCTTCAGGATACAGTTTCCTAACGTATCAAACATCTTATGATTCTAATCAACTTGTTGATACTATGGTCTGTAATAGATCTCACTGGTTAAATTTTTGGTGCAGTAAGGGCTAAGCCTTTTTCCTTTTCTGATTGCTGAAATATGATAACATGGTTTCGGTTGTGTTAGATTTTGAAAAAATGCAGGATCGGTCTTGATTTAGATAGTTTCATAATTATTTAGATAGAGATTTTTGTAAATTCTGATATATATAATTTTTATTAATTATTTTCAATAAAGTTTTTGTGAATCTACCGCACTTTAAAAAAAAAAAAATTTTAAGATTATAAATATTTGCATTTTCTTTACAATTATCTCTAAATTTTATATCATTTTATAACTATCAACTTTACTATTTAGATATTTGACTAAACTTTACATTTCATTTAATAATCTTAACTATAAACTATACACAATATATAGAATATTATTTTCTTATTTATTTCATAAATATATATATCATAGTACAGTCATACCTCTCTATAGCGAATTTTTATATAACGAATTTTTTGGACAACTATATTAAATTTACCCTCGTTATAACGAACTAGCCAATCAAATTCTTTAAAAAATTCACTATAGCTCTATAGCGAAGTTGAAGTTTAGGACATAAAATTCGTTATATCAAGGGTTGACTGTAATTATTTTATTATGAAATTTAAAAGATGTAATACAAAATATAAGTACGTAATTACATC